TTTATATATTATTAAATTTTCATTAAAAATTATAAATATTACATAATTTTTAAAGACATCAATCTGCATATTTTTACAGCTGAAAGATATTTATTAAAATTTCATAATTTTGAAATATACTTAAAATAGTAGTTTTAACATTAAAGATTACAAATAATTTTTTTATTGGCAAATCACAAACACTACTCTCATAATTATATATTAATTCACTTCTTTTTTTGAGAGTAGGCAACAAATATATATATATACACACACACATCAATTCATGTGTTCTGTAGAAAATAAATAATTATGAATAGTGTGACCTAATATAGATTTTATTGTAAAAAATTAGTTTGTATTTATAATTCTCCTTACTCGTTTTCAAAATACTATAGTGGTCAATATCTTAATAAGAATATGAGCAGTAGGATAAGTAAAGTAAAAGATGTCTATAAAAAAAAAAAAATAAATAAATAAATAATGACATTTTTTAAATATGAGGATGAGTCCTACATCGTCTGCTGCTGCTAATAGGAGATTACCCTTTACAACATGCAAGTGCACAATTACACTACAAGCACTTCTCGAGAATGGAAAACATAATTATTTTGGTACAAAATCAAGGATGTATTATTGCACAAGATAATGCACAAAATGTAGTGCCCCTATTACGAAAGAAAGCACTATCAGAATGTTCTTTGAATTTTTGGTATTGGTGGGGCTAATTTGCTGACACTAAATTAAAATCCCAAAAAAAAATCTACCAAAATACCATAAAGCTAAAAAAAAAAAAAAAGAGACTTCCATTGGTGGATTTTTTTTTTTTTCCCAATGATTTTCTCGGCAACCAAACAAAAGAAACTCTAATTCAAGGTGAAGAACCCCATAATGGTCGGTGGAGCAAGCCTGAAAAGTTTTGCAACCATTGGTGGATTTTTTTTTTTTTCCCAATGATTTTCTCGGCAACCAAACAAAAGAAACTCCAATTCAAGGTGAAGAACCCCATAATACCTCTGCAGCAATGGTGGTGGACTCTGCTTCAGAAACAGAGACTTCTCTTACCATTCTTAATATTTCCAATTTAAATTCCATCTTCTCTTTTTCGCTCAACATTTCTCCTACTTCTACCTGTACTGCAAACCTCGCCACACATCCTGCAAATGGGTATTTCTCCACGTATCTATCTTCGTCTTTTTCTTCTTCTTCTTCTTCTTCAGGGATTTTCTCGGGAAAATTGTCTCCATGTTCTGATCTTTGCAACTCCACAAGCTTCTTGATCAACCCAACTCGAAGCATGTTCTCAATCGCTTCTTTTCTCCCATAATATGCAATTCCCAGTATGCAATCGAAGGCTGCAACTTGAATCGAAACGTTTTCTGAGCTCAAGAGGCTGATGATTCTCGTGATTTCTTTGTATGTTTCCAGTTCATCGACCAGAGGGATTCTGATGGTTTTGATCAGCAAGGAAACAACTTGAATCGAACGGGCGGAAGCCATGGAAATCAAAGCTCGAACAGTCGGACCCATCAACACCAACCCCACGAACACATCCTTGTTGAATCTAATCAAAGCAGCAATGGCGAGGGCAGCTTGGTTTCGAACTTTCATCGAACATGTGGCGTCACAAAGGAAAGCCTCAAGAATGGAGAACACTTTGGCTTTAAGAACCCATTCCTGGAAACCCAGATCAAACCCTCTCGATAATCGCTTCTCAAAATCGACTAAAACCCTTACTTTCTCATCTTCTTCCTCCGATTCCTTCAGTATGTTTACAAGATTTTCAACACTTTCCCGATCAATGTAAGCTTGAATTTCAGCATCAACTGCATATGCAACTTGACAAATCTTATAGTTGGTGATTTGGCGTTGAAGGATTGAAGAGAGGCTGTAGCCTTGATGCCTTTGGAGCTTTTCCAGTAGGGATTTGAGGTCGCAGAGCAGCTGTGATAGCTTGATGAGTCTGGGGTTACCAGAAAGAATGGTGTTGGCATCTTTGTCAATGTCTGAGAAAGGATCAACGGAGAATTGGGTTTTGTTCATCGTGAAAATGGGATTGTTTTGAAGATCTTTCGAAGCTTTTTGAAGGGATTTGAGCAGACGTAGTACTCGATCACCGTCTTTGTTGTGTATTTCCTCCATTTTTGCTTAGTTTGGAAGCTTAGAGTGGGAGGTTTGAGTTGAGAAAGACTGAGACCAGCTAGAGGTCTCATAGTGATCCTCTCCACCTGCCAGTCCAGACAAAAAGTCCATGACCCAGCATTCATTCAAATGGAGACCTGGCTCGCAAACAGGTCGAATCTATGGACGTCTGGATTTATTCGGTTCTATCATTTTAGATTTTGGATTAGAGGGTTAGATTCATGCCCTATCCACACGAGTTTCGATTGAGTTGGGTGGATTCGATTTTTTCAAAAATTAAAATTAAAATTTTTTAATATTTTATTTAT